ATATATATATATATATATATATATATATATATATATATATATATCAATATAAAATATTTTTTATTTTTCTGATATTTTCTTGTATGTATAATAAAGGAAGATGTTAAAAATAGAGCACTTTTAGTCCATCAATGGAACTTTAATTAATTATTGGAGACTATTTCTTGGATCTTCTAAAAATAGAAAATAATAATTATTTGTCCAAATGTGTTCAGGTCCGGGAAAAGTTATGAAAATCATTTATTATTGATTGTTGAAATAGTCATGAAGTGAAGTGTAAGTTTTATACCCTTGATATATCTTTAAAATAAAATTAATTGCATGTTTATATCTTGAGAAGTTAGTAGTAAATGTAGAGAAATTCGTTTTTTGATTTACATAATATTTATGTGTTGTACATACAGGGAGATCCGAAAAAAGAAAAGCACATTCCATCCGAAAAAAATATCTTTTATAATCACCTATATATTTCTACATCATATATACATTGTATATGTAAACTAAAAAATCAAATTCTCTATACACATTCACTACTCATCTTTCAATAAATGTACATAATTGTACAATTAAGTTTATTTTAAGAACATATCGAAGATACAAAGTTTAAAAAATACTGCATATGACTATTTCGATAGTAAATATAAGATATTTAATAGTAAAAATCCCGATTTTTATAACTTTCCTCGGACCTGGGACAAATAATTGTTATTTTCTATTTCCAGAAGATCTCAGAAACAATTTCCAATAATTAGTTAAAGTACCGTCAGTGAGCTAAAAATGACCTATTTTTAATATTCTCCTTGGTATACAATCTCAAGTTATAAAATATATCTGATCAAATTACTCGTCTATTGTTATCATATGTACGTTTTGACTTCAATATGAGTCCGCAATATAAGTAAATTATACTATTAGTAAATTGTACTATTAGTAAATTAATTATTGTAAATTATACTATTACTATGTTATATTATTCAACAAAAATTTTCTACGTGTATATTTTCGAAAGTAAAACAATTTGAACACTTTTTCCTAGTGAAGTTAGTAACCTATTTGTCACATTTGAGGATCACTGCTCATGGTAATCGTTTATGACAGGAGCGGAACCGAATATGTAGTGTAAAGTACATTTTATCAAGTCAACATAAAAACTAGTTGATACATTCGAAAATATTCTGGGTTAAACCGTTACAATAATAATGCTCGACAAATTGAAGAATTGTCCTTGGCTCCTGTCATAATTGATTACTTCGCAAGTTCGCGAACAATAATTCCAAATGTGATAACTAAATTGGTTATTAGCTTCACTAAAAAAGAAAAATGTTCAAACAGTTTCGCTTTCGACAATACAAACGACGTACTTACTAATCGTTTTGTTAATCCAATCGGCCAAATCCTCCTGAAGTGGTATCAGCTGGCGACTCTGCGCTGAGTGCAAACGCTCGTGATAAAAGTCGGCAAACTCTTCCTCTTCCGGCGACGGTCGCGGCACATCAGCGCGATTAAAGACAGAAACAGAGGACGGTCCCCAGCTACTGCGATAACGAGTGTGCTGAGTAGATGGGAATCGATTGGCGTACGACATCGTGGGACCAGTACTGAAGTCGATCCTGACGCAGCGCGCCAAATTCTCTCTCGACGTTTCTCTTTTTGCTCCCGTCGGCTCTTTTTCTTCCAGGATTCACTTCACGTTCTTCGACAGCTCCCAAGTTACTCAAGAGCGACGTCGTGCAGGGACGTACGCCTCACGATCGAGTAGCGTCTACGAGCCAGAAAGAGATAATCGTTATCACCAGTGCAGAGTCACTTTCGAAAACTGGACGCGTACTAGGAAAGCAACCGAAAGCGAGAGCGCAATGATAAGACGCGACACAAAACTCTTCTTAGAAGAAAAATAAGGATGTACAACATGACAAAGCGAGAATTGTCTACGATTTTTTCGGGATGCCGTGGCGAAAGAGAAGTCTCATTTCTTCTCCGTTCGATGAGGATTATGTTATATATATATATATATATATATATATATATATATATATATATATATATGTCCCGTATCACCTTCACAATCTCTCGTGAGGACGTAGAGCGGATTGAGATGAACACAAAAGTACTATACCATTTTGCGATATGCGCAATAATAATCGAGATATTAATTAAAAAAGATTGGTGAATAATAATGCGCGATATGGTAGATGAGCTGCAATTGCGCCGTCTGCCGTTGTATACTTGTACATTAAATCAAACTGAACAAAAAAGTCCTCTACCATTTTGCAAATAACAATATAAATATTTTTAGATATTAATTAAAGAAAATTTGTGCATTATGGCATATATAATTGTACATAATCATGTAACAATTTTCTTTGATTAATATCTAAAAATCTATGTTGTCATTTGCAAAATGGTAAAGGACTTTTTTATTCAGTTTGACTTAATGTATAAGTATACAACGGTAAACGGCGCAATTGCAGCTGATCTACCATATCGCGCATTACCATTCACCAATCTTTTTTAATTAATATCTTGACTATTATTGCGAATATCGCAAAATGGTATAGGACTTTTGTGTTCATCTCAATCCGCTCTATGTCCTCACGAGAGATTGTGAAGGTGATACGAGACACCCTGTGTATATATATATGTTTCTTTTTTTACACAAACGTGCGCGTCGCGTTTGTATAAAACATGTATCACGAACGTGTAAACGATGTAAATGGCCACGCTTGCTGATATGATCGCGTCTCAATTCAGCGAGGAATCATAATGAAATCAAGAAGTCGGCTGATTAAAGAACAAAGAGATCTAAGAAGCGAGATATTGAGCACGACTTGTTTAGAGCTAGATCGTTATAAAGAATATGAAGCAGGTATCATTTTGGATTCTCCATGAAGTGTTAGTACACATGCCTTAAATGGAGTTAGCTTATGGCTCGCGGCTCTTACCGCCGCGAGGAAACATCGCTACAGAATGAGAAACGATTAACACTCACGCACCAATAATTAATTAGGTGCTCTGACGGCAGGAAGGCAAGTTTCTTTTGTTGCGATACCGTAACGCCTCCAATTACGCGTTCGTATGAATGCATGCCACGTTAAAATAGATATTAAGATTATAATATATACTTTAGTTAAAATCTAAAGTTCTCTCTCACTTTCTCGAAGGAACGAAGACGACAGACCGAAGATTATAACTACGAGTCGCACTACCAATGTCAAAACGCTGATGTAAGAACTGCGCATCGACACTTCTGGACAGAGAAAACAAATCACCATCCAACGCAATGTTCACGGACAAACCTACGATCGTCCTTCGACATCGATACATCGATATCTTTATTCACATGCGCAATCGTCTCCGTTACCGTAACGTAATAACCTACCTTTTTTAAAGAAAAGATGAAAAAGATGCCAAGTTCACACGCTTGCCTGCACGAGTGGAATTATACAAAAATTAATATTTCTATAAAAAATATTTTATTTATAAAATAACACATTTAAAAATGTTAATAAGAAATATTGTTGTTTAAACTTCTATCTTTTACAAAAAACATGATATCAGGTAGTTAGGCTAAGTGAAAATAATTCACGTATTTCTTTACATGGATAGAATTATATAAAAGCAAATGTGTTCATATATGAAATATTTTACATATATATTTTCAAAAAACAAATCCAAAGACGTTAAAACATAATATTATTTAAATTTCTATTTTCTACAAAAGGGATGTTAAAAAACAATTAGATCAAACAAAAATATCATTGCGTATATAACAGCTTTATGTATATTCACACCACATGTGTAACTATTGACTTCTTTTTATTGGTAACCATGTAAAAATTAAAATAAAATAAAATTAAGAGTCACACAAAAAACACTTGACGTGCTTGGGTATATAAATAACTTAAATATATTTTCCAAATAATAAGATTTGAAAAATGGCAAATAAGGAGCAAACACGGATGTCTTAGTGCTATTAGATATTAATACTATTATTTTAATATTAATATTATAGTTGGACGATAATATATCCAGCATGTTAAACGCTCATATCGAAATTTCTTCGATTATCATACGCGGCGAATCAACCTTCCACACTTAGACCGATCCTTGTGTCCCAAATTTATATATACAGGGTGTCCCGAAGTCCCATGATGATCCTTGGTGAGAACGTAGAACGGATTGAGGTGAGCAAGAAAATCCTGTGCCGTTTTGCGATATTTGCAATAGTTTTTGAGAAATTAATTATTTTGTCTCAAGAAATCAGCGTACAGAAAGCAGCAGCGGAAAGAAAGATGCCTTCGGCCGACGTGCGACCGTGACACTCGCGAATCGTATTTCGCCGCATCCCTCCGCCCATAACTACGAGACATAGCGAGTCTATGTCTCGTAGTTATGGGCGGAGGGATGCGGCGAAATACGATTCGCGAGTGTCACGGTCGCACGTCGGCCGAAGGCATCTTTCTTTCCGCTGC